TTTCTGAGGTGAATGATAAAGGTTTTTTGGTCCTGTGTAGAGTACAGAAAAGGCATAACCCATAGGAAAGTTACAAATCATTGCTTTGAACACAGAAATTGTTAAGAACTTAGCTGTGATCCCAGCTATTCCAAAAACTGAGGCAGAAAGATTACAGACAGCCTGGGCAGCTTAGCAAGATCCTGTCTCACAATAAAAATGAAAGGCCTGGGGATGTAGTTCTGGCACTGACAGTGTGCTCCTGGGTTCAATCACCTATTCGAGAAAGAAAAGAAAAAAGAAAAGGAAGGAAAAAATTAATTATTAAGCACTTGGAAATGAAGGTACTGTGCTCAGGCTGTTTGTATTAAATGATAAATGTTAAAGGTCTCTGCAGATGGCATTACTTGATTTATTTTTTCATGAATATAGAATAATTCTGAAAGAAAAGTTAGTATTAAGATCATTTATTCACCACGTAGGCAACTCAGTTCCTTACACTAATGAATGAATTATCATTCAGTAGTCTACTGAAATGACAAACATCTTTTTGCTGTCATTATTTCTCAGGCACCATGCTCAGTCCTGTGCTCGCTGGGTGCTCATGATTGAAAGGGAAGAAAGACACACAGATCATCACAACCCAATTAAGTGTCCCAGTGGCAGCCTGGGCAGCAGTGGGAACCTACTCCTAGGCTGCCTGGGGAGCCTGTGAGGCTTTACAAAGGGCAGTGTTTAATATGAGGTTTTGTTAATAAGCAGGAAATTACAAGAAAGATAGTGAGGCAGGGTATACTGGACAGAGGAATAGCATCAAAGTCAAGATCTGGGAAACTGCCATTATATAGGTGAGTGCTATTAGGGGGCATGGAAAAGGAAAATAGGAAATGAGTCTGGAAAGGTAAATGTGCAGAACCTGAAGGTCTTCACAGGCCATGCACAGGAAGGTAGGTTTTATTCTCTAAACTGGGATTGGCCCAATTGTGCTTTACAGAACACAGTTCTTCCTGGTGTTAATAGACATAACAGGTAAAAAATGGCTTCAAGACCAAATCCGTTGGAAAATGCTTGGTTAAACATATAGTTTTTTTCTTTAAAAAAAACTGGAAGGGTTGTTAGAACAGCTGAGATGCTGACTTGCATGGTGAATGCCCCAAATGTGGCTGGAAACATTTCCCACAGAATCCTTTTGGCAGCCACTGTCTTGGGGGACTTGTATCACACAGACCTGACTTTGGGAAGTGCTCTGAAGCCATGGAAGGATTTCGAGGAAGGAAGAGACATGACCAGCTTTGCATATCTGTCCAATCCCTTTGGCACATGTGTGCAGGATAGAACTGGCCTGTGGATTAACAGGATTAATCTAAGATTAACAAGAAGACCATTGTCATAGTCCCAATGCTAGATGACAAAAGACTGAAGTGGGCAGATGTAGAAGAGATTGAGAAGAGGTTGATAAATATGAGTGGTAGAAAGAAAAACGGGTGTGACCTGGTGATTTATGTGAGGTTTGGAGAGATAGGAGAGAAGGAGGGGCCTAGGCTGACACGGAGATTTCCAGCAAAGGCAGCAAAACAATGGTATCAGTAACCAAGGCGGAGGACATGGGAAGTGAAACAGCTGGGGAGCTGATAAAGATCACTTTGAGTATGTTGAACTTGACATTCCTGTGGCATATCCAAGCAATACCAAGTAGACAGCTAGCTAGGTAAGTCCAAAACCCAGGAACTGGGCCAAAAACAGGTTTGCTAATCTTGGTATGTAGGTGTAGCTGGCACTGCAGGCAAAGTGAAATTGAGAGCAAGAGAGGGAGACCAAGGACAACACCCTGAGTTGGATAGAGTCATAGAAACCCACAGAAAAATAGAGAAAGATTCAGAGTAGACGAGAGCAGTATCCCAGACCCAAGAGGTGAGCAGTTTGTTTCTTTAAAGCTTTGTTTCCTTTTAAAAGCACATTTTGTGTTTGGCTCAGGCTAATGTTAAAATAAGCTCTCATTCTTGAGCATACAGTGATAGACTGCTAGGGAAAGTGTCCCAGATCCACACTGTAGGAAAGAAAACCTAACCCAGGATTTCAAAAAATTATTGTAAAATATTAATAAGTTGGAAAGTTTCACCGAGGCCACTCAAAGCTGATTTTGCTTTTGTTACTGACAGAGGAAAGGAGGGAGCTGCTCCACCTGATCCCCACTGTGGGGACGCCTCCACTTAGGCAAAAGGCATCTGCATCCCCTGATGGGATTTGAAGAGCAAGGCAGCAGGAGTGGCCAGCAAAGCTGCCCCAGGTCCCCTTGGGCTGGTGCTGCCTGCTGAGAGGCCACTCACTCGGCTCTGTTCTCTTCCTTCCTCATCTTAGCCTTTCTCACTCCTCTCTGATTTGTGCCAGGTACTAAACTGGTTTCATAAATCTGAACAAATAACGAGAACTGTAATAATCCAAATTCAGAGAGAGTAAGATGAAAATGGGTAGTTTTTACCTGAAGAAAAGATCTAGCTGGCGTGGTTACCCAGAGGAGGTGACATTGGGGCTGACCATAGGGCTCCATTCCTGGGCACACTTAACTCAGTGTAACCAGTTGACTGTCCCCTGCTGAAGAGGAGGCAGAGGCCCTTGTGGGATTTGAGAGAGATGACTTATAGATAAGGAACAGGGAGAAGAAATTCCTAACAGCTGTGATACTGTCCAAAGGGGAAGGCAGGTTGTGGGTTGTGGGCACACCAACAACCTACCATCCATTGTAGGAAGAAAAGGGATAAATCTTGCCATGTTCACTGGAACCTCATCTCCATTCATCTTACTATATGCTGGGTCTCCTCCCTCATTTTTTGCTAAAGATGAGACTTAGCCTTGTTTTAGTTAATTTTGTTATCAAGTTTTACTTTGCATGTAATTAAACTCCACCACTTTAAAAAAAAACAAAAACCTTATTTACTTATTTTCATATTAGGGTTTGTACCTGGGGTTGCTCTTCCACTGATCTCCTTTTAATTTTTTATCTTGAGACAGTGTATTACTAAGTCTAACCCACTAACTCTTAATGTGTTTAAAGGTTTATCTCTTTTGAATCTCTTGAAAGCTGTTTTTATAAACTCATTAGCATTCCTTCCTTAGTCTCCACGTCCCTTACTCTTATTCTATAGATCTCCCTCCTCATTTTCTACTCCAGTGATTACTCTCAGCAACAGTACTAATGAGGACTACTAATTGGACTACTACCCTTTTACCCCACCCACCTTTCTTAAGTATGATTGTTTTTAATCTTCTTCCAGCCTTGGTTACCCCTCTTGCTTTGGTCCCTTTCAGTCAGGATTTCTATGTTAATTTTTGTTTGTTTGTTTTAATTTGTCCTCTTTCTTTTCTTGGAATTGTCAGCTTGTGTAAATCCCCTGCTGCTCTCTTACTTCTCCAAACTCCAGCCCCTGGAGGTAGGCAGTGTCAAGAGAGTCCCAGTGAATTCTGAGCTCTGCCTGGCAATTCTGCGGAATACCTGCCCTAGAAGCTTCCTCCTTTTAACCTTCCTACAGAGTGTTTTCAACTGCCTTTAAACATCTATTGATATTCAATAGTTGTGAACTACATACTACTCAAACCTACATACTAAGGGGTGGGAGGACACAGCCACTTGAGCCTTATGGTTTGGGGGTGGCGGGCACATCCATTTCCCACCTCTTCCTCCAGCCTGGCAGGCCTGTGGTGTGCAACCTGCAACACCAAGAGATCATTCCTTTCTACACTGGCCTGTCCCAGATTTAGATTGAAGTTTCAGCAAAAACTCCCCATGTCTGAGCAGTGGGGCAGTGGAACAGTGGGGCAGTGTTTGCTGACCCCGCTTCCCTGTCCCCATAGGAGTGCTATTCAGCATCGAGGTCACCTCTACCTACTTTGCTGTTCGCAACTACTGGCGAGGATTCTTTGCAGCCACATTCAGCGCCTTTGTGTTCCGCGTGCTGGCAGTGTGGAACAAGGATGCTGGTAACAGCGAGGCCCTGGGTGGAGGCCTTGGGACTAAGGCTGCTGGTGAAAGGACATGGGGGGGGGGGCAATTTAGGAAAGGAGTGGATGGCATAATTTAGAAGCAGGCCCAAGGTTATAGGACAAAGACCTAGGTCATGGGGTAGGGAGTACAACTATGGAGTGATTGTGTATAGAAACATGGAAATCACAAAGAAAGGGAGAAATCAGGCCTGGGGGCAAAGGGGCAGGAACCCTGATGGCCCATCCCCCCATCTGGCTGGCGGTGGAGCCCCCACTGGAACCCTGCCTTCTCATCCTGCAGTCACCATCACTGCTCTGTTCAGAACCAACTTCCGAATGGACTTCCCCTTTGACCTGAAGGAGCTCCCAGCCTTTGCTGTCATCGGGTCAGTGGGGCCAGCTACTCTAGGTGTGGTGAGCAGGGTGTGGGGTGAAGCTGTGGATTGGAAGGGACCAGGCCCGGAGGTGCGGTGGGCGAGGGGAGGTGTGGCTTGTGCGGGGAGGTGGGTGGAAGGGAAGGAGGGAGTCTGGGGTTTGTTTCCCTGCAGTGGCTGGGTTGGAGGGATGAGGGTGTCACGCCTGTGAGGTTCCAACCTGATAACTTACGCCCTCAGGATTTGCTGTGGGTTCCTGGGAGCCGTATTTGTGTATCTGCATCGCCAAGTCATGCTCGGTGTCCGAAAGAACAAGGCCCTCAGCCAGTTTCTTGCTAAGCAGTGAGTCACTGCCCTTCCCTTGCCCTACCCATTAAATGTTCTGATTTCTCAAGTTCCTCCCTTTCTCTTTGTAGAAGGCAGTAAACGCCTCTAGGTGGCGTGTAGGAGCAGGAATACTGCTAGAAGGGCAAGTTGTGTGGGCTCCTCTCTAATGATTACTTTTTTTGGCAAAGAGAATGCTCTTTGTTGAAAGACCTGAGAGACTAGAGTGGACTGCAGGAAACTTGAGCTTGCCAAAGTTCTTGTGGTATTCACCATGGGTGGCTAGGCTGGGGGGAGGGTTAACTCTGTTTCTCTTTCAGCCGCCTGCTGTATCCTGGAATTGTCACTTTTGTCATCGCCTCCCTCACCTTTCCACCAGGAATGGGTCAATTCATGGCTGGAGAGGTCAGCCCTAGGGAGACTGGGGGTTTGGGGTTGGGGGTCAGGTCGCTGCACAGGGACTAGGTCCCTCAATCAGGAAGGGAGGAGACAGCTCAGGCTGCGAAGCTTGAATAGTTTTGCCCATGGGTGGACTCTCCTGGGAAAAGGGAAAGAGGGATCCTTGAACAGAGAGGCTGGGGAAAGAGTTCTTCATTCTCCATGTAAAAAAGGAAATACAGTCTCTCCCTGGAGAACCTGCTTGCTCTGCTTCTTCCCCTCAGCTGATGCCTCGCGAAGCCATCAGTACCTTGTTTGACAACAATACGTGGGTAAAACACATAGGTGACCCTGAAAGTCTGGGCCGATCAGCTGTGTGGATTCACCCCCAAGTCAACGTGGTCATCGTCATTTTTCTCTTCTTCATCATGAAGGTACTGCTCCCCCACTGCAGACCTCGTAAACATGTCTTCAATCTAGGTACCCAGGGTTTGCATGGGGTAAGAGGGGGCAGAAATTCTCTGGTCTTTCTCAGAACTTACAGAAGAAACCATAGAAGCTGCAGAAGTGAACCCAGATCTGGGCTAATTGCTC